CCGACACGCTCCCCATCAGGCACCCCAGGACCAGGCTCCCTTAGGGCACCCCACAGACACGCTCCCCATCAGGCACCCCAGGACCAGGCTCCCTTAGGGCACCCCACAGACACGCTCCCCATCAGGCACCCCAGGACCAGGCTCCCTTAGGGCACCCCACAGACACGCTCCCCATCAGGCACCCCAGGACCAGGCTCCCTTAGGGCACCCCACAGACACGCTCCCCATCAGGCACCCCAGGACCAGGCTCCCTTAGGGCACCCCACAGACACGCTCCCCATCAGGCACCCCAGGACCAGGCTCCCTTAGGGCACCCCACAGACACGCTCCCCATCAGGCACCCCAGGACCAGGCTCCCTTAGGGCACCCCACAGACACGCTCCCCATCAGGCACCCCAGGACCAGGCTCCCTTAGGGCACCCCACAGACACGCTCCCCATCAGGCACCCCAGGACCAGGCTACCCCTTGGGGCGCCCCGACCCCTTGGGGCGCCCCGGGGACCCAGCAGGACAGTCCTGCTCAGCCCTGGAGTGCTGGTGCAGCTGGGCTCTGTGTCCCACCTCCCGGCACCCTGCCCATGGACGCAGGGGGCTCTGGGCACATGGGTCCCCATGGAAGGTGCCGAGCACCAACTGCTGAGAGGGGACACTGGGGGGGGTCACTGGTCCCTGAGCAGCAGCTTTGCAGGGCTGACCCCAGATGGGTCACGCACAAACAGCTTCTGCTCATTAGGAGGGGCAAGGAGAGGTTTCAGGTCCTTCATCCCAAACGCAGTCTGTGTGCAGGGCTGGGGTCCCCGTGATGGTCAGGTTATGCCACAGTACGGCCTTTGCCAAAGCCCCCTGCTCTTTACCTGGCCAGCCTTGCTCTTCACCCCAAGCCTGTCCCCAGGCCTGGGTCCCCATCATCACCAACACAGCTCACTACAAATCCTGCACACTCAGGTGCCCGGTGCGGTGCTGGGACACACCGGGTCCGTAAGCTGGGAAAGGGCTTTTCCATCGCCCTCCAACCGGCCCTGCTCAGCACCCCCCTACTCTAAGCGTGGGCTGGCATGAGCCTGGGCCCCCCATGCCCCGTCCAGGCTGCCCCATGCTCCCTGGCTGGCACTCCAGCTCCCCCACAACCACACTTGTGCAGAGGCAGCGCCAAAGCAGAAGAGCTGAATAAATCATGCTGTGCTGAATTATGGAGGAGCTGGCTGGCACGTAGCACAAGCCTTGTGGGCAGGAGGGCAGCGGGGCTGCACCGAGGACCCCACGCCACGGCACCACAGCATGCTGAGCGTGATGCTGGTAATGCCAACATACACACTGCCTGCCCCCATTGCCTGCCCCAGTGCCATTCCTCCTTAGTACCGAACTAATCGATGAATTGACGAGGCTGGGGCTGGAGCTGGAGCTGGAGCTGCCCCTCAGCAACACACGATGCCTTTATTTGCCTGCTCAACTCCCACCCGCTGGGACCCTGACCCCAAACCATGTCCTGCTGTAACCACTGGGACCCTCCTGGAGCTGGGGCCAGAGCCAGGCACCCTCAGTCCCAGCCTCTCCCTCCACTTTGCACTGGTGTTTCTCCCCTGGGATGGCAGAGTGTGAGGGCAGGGACCCAGACAGCTCACCTGGGCACCCACCCCCTGGGGACCCCAAGTACACAAGCATGCGTCTCAGCATGGACAGGCAGGAGCTGCTTCTTCCTAATCCCCTGCCTGGGGATTTGCTCCTCCGGGCAGGTCCCCTGCGTCTCTGCGCAAGCAGATTACAGGGGGCTATTTCTGACAGCAGCTTAAAGGTTTGGGTAAAGGGATGAGGCAGCACGGGCCCCCTCCACCCTGGCACACGCTAACGGCACTGGAGGTGCAGCAAAACATGACCCGTGGTGCTCCCAGGGCCGAGCACGGCTGTCCCGGTGGAGGGGGGATGGGGGTGCCCGGGGTCCTGCTGAGCCGGGTGCTCCCTGCCCCGTGGCATGCAAATGGGTTTGGGGATCAGTCCCTTGCACTGTTGCTGCAGGGTAGGGGGGTGCTGATGGCTGGGGGGCTGCACCCCGCCGCCTGCTGAACAGGGAGGGGAGCAGCTGGATGGGGAAGGCTGCAAGCATGGGCAGGACACAATGGGGGCTTGTCCCCAGCCCAGCCTGTCGCAGGCAGGGGGGTGGGAGCCAGGCCAGCAGCGGGGCCAGGCCTTCAGCCCCATCTGTCTCCTGCTGCCCCACGTCCATCCCCCAGCCTCTCGCTCTAATCCTGCCCCTGCTCCACATGGGCCAGAGGCAGAAGCAAAGCAGATACAATCTGTCTGTGCCCCCCGCTGAACCCCGACCCTACACCAGGAATGGGTCTCACCGCACTGCCGTGGGACATCGTCCCTGCCTGGCCATGGGGGCTGTGGGTGTCCCCATGGCTCTGGGGGCTTTGCCAGCACCAGCAGCCCTGCACGCCCCTTGGCCGCTCCGGGCTGTCGTGTTTGGTGGGACAGCAGCACTGGGGGCCACCAGCGCACCCTTCACCGTCCCCCCACCGGTGTCCCACCCCGGGGAACCACAGCACAGCACAGGGGGAGCAGGGACATGCAGAGGGTCCCCGGAGATGAGAGTGGCTCTCTCCAAGCGTCTGGCTCAGCTCAGCAGAAGCTGCTCCCAGAATTAGCCTGGGATGTTCTGGGCGAGGAAATCCAGCCCCTCAATCCCGTTAGCAGCGATTAGCTCCCACACTGCCCTCGCGGCCCTGACCCAGCCCAGCCAGCACTGCCTGCACAACACTCCGCGTACTGCAGGCTCGATCTGCTGGGGGGTGAGGTGAGGTTGTAGCGGAAGACGGTGTCAGCCCGCAGTGTGTAGCGGGGCAGCTGCTCACCCAGCAGGCTGATGATTTCCACCTCCGGGATATCGCCGCTGCACAAGTCTGGGGACAGAGGGGCATGGCATCAGCCAAAGGTGGGGGGCACCCGGGAGGAGGGGAGCGCGGGGGGGCCGTGGCAGGGGAGAGCTTCCTACACCCCTCAGACCAGTCTGTCCCCTCGGGGTTTGGGGCTGGTGCCACCAGGTGGGTCTGTCCCCACAGCCACTCATGTGAGGACTGGGGGTCCCCCTGCAGGGTGCACACAGGACCCCTGCCCCAGCTCTCCCTTGCTCGCCCCCTGCTTTCTGCAGGCAGGGTCCTGCTGCCATCTCCTGGCCACTCTCTGCCCGGTCGAGCGGCGCTGGGGACAGCAGTCCAGGGATACTGGTGTGGGGCGAGGGGGGCGGGGGGGGGGGGGCAGCTCTGGCCATGCAATGGGGACAGGACGAAGGACCAGCCCAGAGCTGCCCCAGCTCCTCACCCCCCTCACCCCAGTCCCCAGGGCCACCCAGTGGCACTGCCCGGCTCTACCCACCGGTGATGGTCGCAGCATCGCGGCATTCACCCGTGGCCGACCCGTGGGACACGGGGCCGGCGTGGGGCAGGGCAGCGGCGGGCGAGTCCGGGCCGGGCCGGAGGTGGCACGCGGGCGGGCGCCGGTCTCTTGTGGGACCGCGGTGTCCAGTTTGGCTGGCGTTACGTGGGAAGGCCGACTGCCATGGGGAGAAGCACCTTCCTCCCTGGCTCCCTGGAGCAGCGCTGGTGGGCAGCAGAGTCCTTTCTCCAGCCCCTGCCTGGGGAGAAGGAGCTGTTAGGGTGATGCTCTGGGGACTGGGGACACATCCTGCACCCCATCCACATGCTCAAGCACCCACATGTCCTGCATCCTGCCAGCTGACCAAACCCCCTCCCCGGGGGCAGCATCTGCCAGGTCCGGCGACTCGCGGAGACCTGGACAGCATGGCCAGGGCTCAGGTGTCCCCACTACCCGGCCAGCCCACGAGCTGCTGTTGGGACAGGGGGACCACGGGGATGGCCAGCGCTCAGGCAGGCCCCAGCTCAGCCTCCGCCTGCTGCTTAACGTGGAGCAGTTTTGGGGATGGCGTACCTGCTCAGCGCTGCCTCTGCGGCAGCCACTACGTGATGCGGGGGGCTCAGCACCAAAGCAAACACTTGGTGATGTCTGGATCAGCGCCAGCGCCAGACAGGGGAGAGGATGCTCTGAAGGGACCGGGCAGGACCCTGCTTCCCCGAGGCTGGCAGCTGAGTCCCTGCCTGGGGGAGCAGGCAGGAGAAGGAGCCGTACAGCCGCTCGGCAGTGGTTAGACACAGCCGTGGTGCCGGCAGCTCTCACAGGAGCCCTTGGGAGCCCCACCTTGGAGAGCAAAGTTCAGCTGCAATCCTCCACCCCATAAGCACCAGGATGCAGAGCAGGGACCTGCCGTGTTGCCCAGGGCAGGGCTGGGCAGCATCCACGGCAGTCCCATCCCAGCCATAAACACATCACGCGACAGACCATAAAACCAGCACGTTCCTGCTCTCCTGCCACCTCCAGTGGCCCTGGCTCAGGCTGCAGCCACTGCTAGCACTGCTGCCCCTCTGCCCTGTGGGGCAGGAGCCTCCCGTGCAAGTCCCATGCCCCCACCTCCGCTGCAGTGGGGGCTGCAGCACCAGCAGCCCCTTGTGCCTGGGAGCAGATTCATGCCAGGGCATCACTGCCCTCCCTCCCAGCACGTGCTCATGGCTGCTGTCACATCTGCAGCACCCAGGCGATGCCACCCTGCACCACCCTCCAGCAAGGCCAGATCCTCCCCAGCACACGGGACAGGCACGAGGCAGCAGGGACACCCCAAAGCACACCCGCAGCACCACAGCCCTCTGGCCCATGGCACCGGGACCACTGGACCTAGGCAGCCCAATCCTGCACCGTGCTGCCCAGAGAACAGCTCCCCAGCCCGCAGACCCTCTCTCTCCCCACTTCTCCCCAGAGAAGAAAGGGGACCCACCGTGCCGAGGTGCTGGGCTGCCGCTGCCCCGCTCCCCACGCTGGCGCTGGCTCCAGGGAGGGAGCCCGGCCAGTGAGTCAGCGCTCAGCTGGGGCTGCCAGAGCCCTGCGTCTCCTTTTGGCCCGGCTCCTGCACATACATTAACTCTCCCCACGGGGGACCTTGTTCAGACACGTGTGAGCAGCTCCCATTGCCCCGGACCCCGCTGTGCCCCCAGCCACCGGCGTTCGGCTTTCAGATAACCTGGGGACCTGCCCAATGGGGGCTGGTGGGGAGCTGGGCAAGAGCAGGAGGACGGTGGACCCAAGGCACTGGCCGGCGGTGGTGGCGGTGGTGGGCCAGGAGAAGTGGGGCCCTGGCTCAGCCCGTGCCCAGTCCAAGGCACTCCGGCGGTGGTGGCGGTGGTGGGCCAGGAGAAGTGGGGCCCTGGCTCAGCCCGTGCCCAGTGCACGTGCAGACCTGTGCTCGCTGTTCTCTGCCCTGCCCCGATGTCATCATGCAGCTCCTGCCTGGGCACCTCCCTGCCTGCGCAGCCTTGCGGCGGGGCTGAGCGGGGCTTGACCCAAAGCCCCTTCCCCACCCTGCACCTGGGTGCCGATGCTCAGCAGCAGCTGAGCGGTGCTGGGGTGGCTGGGCTCACTCTGGGCTATTTTTTCCCCTCAGCTGCTGTGGCAGGATCCCGGGGCTGGGGAGGGGAGGCTGCTCGGAGCGAGGATCCTCCGCAAGTGCCTGGGTTGGGGGACTGCAGAGCAGCAAGGCCAACGTGTGGAGTGAGGATGAGGGTGAGGTGGTGGCTCAGTTCCACCACTGGGATGGGGGTAACTGCAGTCCTGCCCTGCCCCAGCCCAGGGGATGTCCCCAGAGGGGTCCCTGCAGAGCCCCCCGGGCTGGGACTGGGAACATCCCTGCTGTCATGCAGGGAAGGATATGGACACGGCCAGGCTGCAGCTCCCACAGCCTGTTCGATCCCATTCTGATGCTCAGGCGACCCCAGGAGGCGGCATCTGCCTGAAGCATCGCTCAGAAATGAGTCTCTCCCTACACCCAAGGCCATTGGGGGATGGACTCCTGCCCCAGCAGTTCATCCTGCCTGCTGCCTGGCTTCCCAGCTGGAACAGGCTCCCCAGCCCAGAGCTCAGCCCCATTGCCTTTGCTCTGTCGTGACCCCCCAACACCTGATGCTCTACCCCTGCCGCAGACCTCGCCGTGACTGACCACACCGTGGGTTTCACGCTCCCAAGGGCCTGAGCCCTCCGTTCCCTTCCCCCTGCAGAAATATCCTCAGCAGCGTCAGCCTCTTTCCGCTGAGCAGGAAAACCCTCCCCGCTCCCGCACAGACTTCCTGGTTCAGGCACTGGGGACCACGAAGCGCAGCCAGACCCCAGCCACCATCGCCAAGCCCCCTCCCCAGCCAGCCACTGCTGCGGCCAAACCGTCCCCCAGGACCCCCAGGACCCTGGGATCCCAACCCTGCCACAGGGCCCTGGCCACTAATGCCAAGGGAGTGGGAAATCCCACCCGGGCGAGGGGCGAAGGCTTCGGCAGTGAAGCGTGGAAATGTGTTACGGGTGTTGGAGCCCACGAGTGGGAGTGGGGTCGCGGGGGGAGCTGAGCGCCGGGAGAAAGGGCGAGACAAGGCAAATTCTCCAGGGGGATCCGGCAGCCGCTGCCTGTGACACTCCCGGGGGACCGGCAGGGACCGGCTGGGCACGGCC